GATGGTGATGCCAGGCACATGCTGGCAGGGAGTGAGCTGTGCTTGGACACCTGTCAGAAACCTCTGCCCTGAATCCCCCGGCACTGCGCCTGGACTAGTTTCCCCATCACCCAGCACCATCAGCCCATGGGAGATGTTGATGCTGGGCAAGCTGCAGCTCTTGGCTTTCCCCTCCCTCTTGGAGGCTGAGGCTTTGGCTGGCCGATGGCTCGCTGCAGAGGGCATAGCTGGGGCAGCCGGATGTGTCCCCCAGCCTTTGGGAGCATGATGCTGTCAGAGGTGGTCACACTCCCTACCTGTGCTTGTGGCACTGCAGGACATTGCTCTGGGGGTTGGTTTCTCCCACAGGCTGCAGGCTTCCAGAGCCCCTTTCCCAGATTTCCTCCTTGTCCCTGGAGAATCACAGAGGCTGTTGGTGTTGGGCTTGGGGACACCTCTGTCACCATGTCTTAGCAGCCACGGCTCAGGATGTTGCCACAGAGGATGGGCTGCTCCTCATTGCCAGTTTGTCTTGCATCTCCTGGCCCTGGTGCTTGCCTTGCCCTTCCTCCCGTGGGAGGCTGTATCATAGCCTCTTGTGATGCTGTGTCACAGTGGGGCTGCTCCGACACCTCAGCTCCATTCCCAAAAGCCAAACCCAACCCTGATGTGGGTAACCAGTTCCCTGTGGCAGAGGGACACAAATAGCAGTCTCAGACCCTTACAGGGGCAAGCCACTGCCTTCATGGCTGGGTTTGGAACAGGAACCCCACTCCACTGTGCCCCAAAGCCTGTGAGGTGGGAAGGGATGTGCTAACAAGGTGCCTTCCTTGCAGGGGCTGGCTGCGCTGGTGTCCCCGGCTGCGCACTGTCCTCCTGGTCCCACTTCTCATCTACATCTCTGTGCCCATCCTCATCCACCTCTTCCCTGTCCTGCTCACCAAATTTGTCTACCTGAACTTCCGTGAGTGCCCCAGACTGGGAGAACCACCCTGCCCAGGATTCATCAGGAAGAAAGTTGGGGGGTCTCTGAAATGTGGGTGGGGTGCGTAGCACCCGTTGGTGCCCCCTTGCCATGGGCTTGCAGAGGAGGCATGGAGGGAATTTCTATCAGTGCCTCATGTTTTGCAAGCTGTAATAGCATGGTGCTGTTGACCCTGTTTGTTTGCTGCCTCAAGTTGCAACACATGCGGGCACGCAGTGTCAGTGGGGTTAGAAATCTGGGTGGGAGGAGGTGGCCAAGGGCTGTGCTCGCCTCACTGCTCCTGAGCTGGACTGAGCACGGCCCTGAGCTTCCAGGCAAATAATTCAAAACCAGTAACATCCTGCTTTGGAACAAATGCATAAAAGCAGCTGGGTGTGATGATTCCTGGGTGGCCTGAGTGATGGCTGTGATTTTTTCCTCAGTGGCTTTTCCTTTCTTCGTTGACTTTCGTCAGCCGGAGCTGCTGCTGAACAACACCATCAACCTGTACCTCATGACTGAGCCGGGTGTGATGGTTGGCATCTGGTGAGCAGGGCAGCCCCAGCATCCTGGGTGGGCACAGCTGGGTGGCTGCACCTGTGTCCTGCAGCCCCCCAGAGTAACCCCGCTCTGCCTCCCCAGGCACACGGTGCCAGGCAGCAGAGGAGCTGAGGCGAGGGGCAAGGACCAGCACTGGTACGAGGAAGCACTTGGTGATGATCACCCCGTGATCATCTACCTGCACGGCAATGGGGGGACCAGGCGAGTACCTGAGAGCACCCCAGCCTCTGCCAGGGGAGGAGGCTGCTCCCAGACAGCATCTCTGTTGGGGTGAGAACTAGCAAACTCGGTGGAGCAGCCAGCAGTACTGTCGAGCCAGGGCTGCTGCAGCAGTGTCTGACCCCACGAGTCAAGGAGAGTCCCTTGGAGTTCAAGGGAAATGTTAAATCCCACTCAGCCCAGAGCATCCGGCTCTGCCCTCCTGGGAAGAGGTCACCCCAGTCTCCTGATGCTGGAGGGGAAGGTCCCTTGAGGGTGCCTGCCTGAGCTCTAACCTCATTTTCCCCATCAGAGCTGCAAGACACCGCATCCAGTTCTTGAAGGTAAGTGGCCACCTGCAAGGGGACTGGCACCTGCTGGGAGTAAGGCTCATGCTGGCTCCAGGGACTCAAGAAAGACCCTGGCCAGGGTGAACCCCACCATGCTGGGGGTCCTGGGGTGCAATCTCCACCCAGGCATAAAACAGTGCTGCTTCTCCAACAGACAATGGGTGCTGCTGGCTTCCACATCCTGGCTCTCGACTACAGAGGTAAAGTCATCCCCCTGCCTCTTGCTGAGTGACCCCCCCTGGGGCTGGCCTCCCAGGGTCGTGATGCTCAGCCATGTCCCCTGCAGGCTACGGGGACTCCAGTGGGCACCCCACAGAGAACGGCTTCACCACGGATGTCCTGGCACTCTATGACTGGGCCAAAGCACGAAGCGGGAACAGCATCATTCTCTTCTGGGGACACTCATTGGGAACAGGGTAGGTGCAGGGCTGGGCAATGGATGGGGGGAATTCGCCCCATGGGTGCTGCCTGGCTGGAGCCTACAGACAGTCCCTGGGCTGTGACACTGCTGCCAGACCAATGCCACCTGGGGATGGACAAGGGGTTGGAGCAGCTCCTTGATGGAAGCATCTGCAAGGCAAAACTCAGCAGGCAAAGGGGGTGTTGAGGGTGCTGTGCACCCTACTGGGGCATCGTCGCTGCTCCCCCTCACTGTCACTTCTCTTCTCACAGGATTGCCACAAACGCAGCAAGGAAACTGCAGGAGGAGCGAGGTAAGGGCCAGTGTGGCTGGGCTGGCTCTGTGCAGTTGTCCTCTGGGCTCTGCACATCCCTGGTGTGCCACGTTTCAGGGGCTACAGAGGAGCTGGGGATCCCTGTCACTCTCTGCTAAAGCACCAGGGTCAGCCCCTGCAGTGGGGACAAGTGACCATCCCTATGGTCCTTAGAGGAAAGGGGGCATTTTGGCCTCATGGTTGCTGCCTGGGGAGAGACATTCCCCCACAGCCATGCCTGCTCTTACTGCGCTCTGCCCTCAGGAGTCGAGGTTGATGCCATTGTCCTGGAATCGCCCTACACCAACATCCGCGAGGCAGCTGCCCACATCCCCATCACCAAGGTGAGCCCAGGGCTTCAGTCTGCAGGGTCCTGCCATGGTGACAGATCAGGGGCTCTCAGTGGCAGCCCCGGCTGCCTGGGTCTTCCCCCCTTGTAGCGAAAGGGTGCAACAGTCAAGGGCACAGCTTAGCACCCCCCAACTCTCTCCCTGGCAGATCTACCGCCAGTTCCCAGGTTTTGAGTACCTCATCCTGGACTCGCTCGCTCTGGGTGACATGTTCTTCCGCAGTGACGAGAAGTGAGTGTCCAGCGGGAAGGGGCACTGCTGCCGTGTGGGGCTGTGGGGATGGTGGTGGCACCACCTGGTCGAGGAGGGGTGGGTTGGACATGTCACACCATGAAATCCCTACATTCTGATTTATCTTTTCCTAGCTTATTCATGCTTTAAGAGTAGCTTTTTATTTGCCTAGCTTCAGATATTGCTATTATTACCATGTAAAGCCCAGAAACCACCATCCTTTTTGTGAGCACTACACACTCCAGTCCCACCTGCAGTGGGGCACACACTGCAGTAGCCTTTACTGAAAGCCTGAAACCTTTTGAAGCCTGAGCACCCCATAACCAGGTCTAAGGCTAACAGGATGCTTGGTGCTGCTATGCCAGGACAAGTGGCGTGGGCATCACCCTGCAGCAGTTGAGCAGCTGCCTGTAGCTACCAATGGGCTGCTACACTGAAGGGCAGTGCAGGGGGGGTCAGAGTTGCTGTGGGAGATTTTGCAGGGGCTGGGGAGACTCTCATTGGCCCATCAGCTCCAGGGTGACTCCTCAGTGCTGTGCTTACTGCTCACAGTGTGCAGGTGCTGTCCTGCCCGCTCCTCATCCTGCACGCAGAAGATGATGCCATCCTGCCTCCACACCTGGGACACAAGGTGGGGACCAGTCCAGTGCTGGGCTTTAATAGGGGTGGGCACCATTTGAGCCTGGCTTTGGAGGGCTGAAGTGGCTGGAGAGGGGGTGGCCATCCCCAGGGTGCCACAGGGAGTTTGAGGTCCTCCCCCCAGGACACTAACCGAGCTCCCACCCCACGGCAGCTCTTTGAGACAGCACGCAGCGCCTACAAGGACAAAACCAAGGTGAAGTTCATTACCTTTCCCAAAAAGCTGGGCCTGGGCCATGACTATATTGCGTTCAACCCAGAGCTGCCTGCCTTGGTGAAGTAAGTGCTGCTTTGCAGAAATGGGGGGTTACAGAATGAGCTTGGGCCTCTTCTTCCATGGATGCATCCTCCCCTGTCACAGCCATACAGGTGTCTTCCCTCTGCTCCTTACCCTCTTACGGTGCTCACTGGCATCAATTTTTGAACCCCAGTTGCTCCTCACTGCCCTGAGCCTCTGCTCAGCTGGGTGTCATGGGGTTGTGCCCCTGGGGGCAGCTCCCATCTCCTCTTTGCCCTGGGTACACAGCCTTACTCTAAGCCCAGCTCAGACCCACATCTAGGGATCAGAAACCAGGCTCTGAAGCAGCACAGGACAGTCAGCAATAACAGTGCAAAAATTACTGCATCTTGTTACAGAGACTTCTTGAACATTAAGTGATGCCAGCTGCTGCATGCAGCAACCACAAGCACTTCCTCAAACCCCACACCAGGAACCTGTTATGGCACTGAACTTACTGTTGTAAGTAATAAAAACTACTGAAAAATGTTCTAATTCACCCACTGCCTTGAGGATGCTTTGGGTTACTTGGGGATACTGTTGCGATCTTGGTGCTGCTCCTGTGTGCAAGCTGTGCCCAGCAGCAGCACATGGGGCAGTGGTGGGGGTTACACAGCCCTACTGCAAATACCCCTTAACTGCCCGGCACTGGTGCCTCAGGACTAGCAAGAGCTGCACCCCAAGTCCTGCTTCAGCAGCACCTGCAAGGGCTTAGGCAGCTGAGCCCAATGGTGCTGCCCACCCTATCCCTGTCTGAGCCCTAGCACCTCGACCCTGATACCCAGTTTCTGCATTAGCGTTGGTGCGAGCCAGTCCCCAATTTAGGCTGCAGCAAACAGCCCCTTGGACTCCAGTGACACAACAGGGCAACAGCTTTTGCTTTCTGCATGACATTTGGTTACAAAAATTGCCCCTTCCCCACCCGTAGGAAAGCCAGCAGCAGCACAGACACCACACAGCAGAGACAGAGACTGTTTTACAGCGTCCGTGCTCACATGCGCAGCTCTGTGCCCCTACGCCGCTGTGCCGTTGGGGATCCTGTGCTCAGCCGCGTCCCGGGGCTCGTTGGGTGGTGGGATCTTCAGGTTGGAGGGCTCCACGTGCCAGATGTCCCGGGCGTATTCCTTGATGGTGCGGTCGCTGGAGAACTTGCCAGCTGCTGCGATGTTCTTGATGACCATCTTGGTCCATGCCTTGGAGTTCTGCAAGGAGAGTGGTGGGACAGTGTGGCTGGAGGCTTGTACCCATGGGTGCTACATTAGCCCTGAGACTGGCTTTCAACCAAAGACACCCTGGAGCAGCACATCCAGGAGCCTCCTCGCCAGGAACCCATCTACATGCAGAGCCCTGTGCCTGGGGAGGGGATGTTGTGCCCCCATCAGAGCTCCCCTCCCTCATCCCCAGACCGGCACTCACCAGGTACAGCTCGCTGACCTTCTCCTGGCACTTGACATAAGCCTCATAGTCTGCAAAAACTTTAAACCTGTAGCAGTAAAGAGAGGAGTCAGCAGCAGCAGGAAGCAGAGATGGGAGCTCGGCGCGGATGGTGGCTGCAGCACACGGGGCTTGGGCTGCCAGACCTTGGGCTTCCTCCAACACGAGTGCTTCAGACAAGTTCACCCTCCTCAAGCCCTGTTTGTGCAGAGCCCTGCAAGCCCGTGGGTGCTGCAGCACGTGTGCTCTGGGAGGGCACACCAGGAGACATTTCTCCAGTGCAAATGCCTGTGGCCCTTGGCTGCCTAATGCTCTGGCCAGGAACGCCCTTGAGAAACTTAAAAGCACTTCTCATCTGGTGAGGGCTGTGTACCCAAATGCATCGTGGCCTTAATGTACCCCAGGTTTTAATGGGGCAAGCATGAAGTGCTGGTCATGGACACTCTCCTGTACCAGTCAAGCAGCAATTGGTTGACCACATCCACATCATCAGGGCTGGAAAATGGGACATTTTCAGCCAGAGGGTGGCTGGTCGGTGCAGGGGGCTGCTCTGCACGGGAACCAGGAGTTTGGTGGGGAGACCCACCCCAGGGGATGGATGGCATCCCACGCCTCACCTATCATGGTGGAAGAGCATGTTGACCACGTCGTTGAAGAGGTCAGGCTCCTCGGGGGAGAAAAAGCCACTCTTAATCTGGTCAATGGCTTGCTTCAATTCGGGGAGCTCGTCGTAGTACTTCTGGGCATTGTACCTGGTAGGGAAGGGCTGATATGAGATAGTGCTGCTCTGGCTGCCTGTGGTGGCACCCCCACGGTGTCCCCAGCTCTCACCCTTCCCTGTCCAGCTCTGTGACATCCTCCACCCTCATGCCGAAGATGAATAGGTTTTCCTCTCCAGCTTCCTCGGCCATTTCCACGTTTGCTCCATCCATGGTGCCAATGGTCAGAGCCCCATTCAGCATGAACTTCATGTTCCCTGTGCCCGATGCCTCAGTGCCTGCTGTGGAGATCTGCTCCGACAGGTCAGTAGCAGGGATCACTGCCAACAGAACACATGGACACAAGGGGCTCACGGTGACCAGCTTTGCGTTTGTACCATGTCAAAGAACGTTAGATCTCCCGCCTAGCAGAGATGCAGCCATGGGCTGGTGCACAGCCATGGGGCTGATGTCCCTCCCCACAGCATCCTCCATGTGGGCTACCTTTCTCTGCCAGCGAGACCCTGTAGTTCTCCAGGAAGATGACCTTCAGTTTACTCCCCACAACGGGGTCATTGTTCACCACCTGAGCCACAGCGTTAATGAGCTTGATGATCATTTTAGCCATGTGATATCCTGGGGCAGCCTAAGAGAAAAGCCATGGGTGAGCCCGGAGGGCTGGCCAGGGGCAGGGGAGGTGCACCCAACTCCCACATGCCCAGGGAAGGATCACCTCACTCAACCCATGTGTTGCATCCCCATGCTCTCAGGGGCTTCCCAGACCAGAGGCAGCACATGGTTGTGCAAGCCCCAAAACTTAGAGCCTCGCTTGGATTGAAGCCAACAAGTGTTGCTCCAGCATTTCCTGGAGTTTCATGAACATGGCCCCATGAGATGTCCGCAACCAATTTCCCTAGGGCATTGTCAAGGAATTCCTCCAAAATACCTAGAACTCCTGACCCAACTTACCTTGCCCCCAATGATCACTGTCCTCGGCACAAAGAGCTTTGCAGGATCCTTCCTAATGCCTGCAGAAGACAGGAGCAGGGCGTCACCCTCTGCTTTAGCTGCACCCCAGGGGCTAGGAATGCTCATGCACCCGCAGGGCAGCCTGTCCCCTTGGGGTGCACGTTGTCTTACGGTTGTACATAGTGATGATGTGCAGGCAGTTCATCAGCTGCCGCTTGTACTCGTGGATCCTCTTCACATGCACATCGAACATGGAGGAAGGGTTGATCTTCACTTTGTACTCCTTCTCCAGGTACAGCGCAAATTTCACCTTGTTCTCCTGGGTGAGGGCAGGGAGCACGTCAGCGCCAGCCTGTGCTCTCCCTCTCGACACCCCCTGGAAACTCCCCTCACCTGCTTCACTTTGGCAACCTCCCGGATGAAGACGTCGTCGTCCACACACTCGCGCAGCTTTGTCAGCTGGCTCAGGTCCCGCACATAGTCCTCCCCTATTTTCTGCAACAGGAGCACAGGCACGCGCTGACCACGGGATGGGCGCAGCCGCCTTCATTGGCGCGCTGCTCCCGGCTGGGCGA